TGTGTGTGTGTGTGTGTTTGTGTGTGTGTGTGTGTGTGTGTGTGTGTGTGTGTGTGTGTGTGTGTGTGTGTGTGTGTGTGTGACATGGTTAGTGTTTGTATGTGTGGGGAAGAGTAGGGAGGTCTACAAGTGGGGTGTGGGGAAGAGTAGGGAGGTCTACGAGTGGGGTGTGGGGAAGAGTAGGGTGGTCTACGAGTGGGGTGTGGGGAAGAGTAGGGAGGTCTACCAGTGGGGTGTGGGGAAGAGTAGGGAGGTCTACCAGTGGGGTGTGGGGAAGAGTAGGGAGGTCTACCAGTGGGATGTGGGGAAGAGTAGGGAGGTCTACGAGTGACCGAAGAGTGTAAGAATAATATAATTGGTGATTTTGGGGTGAAAATTGATTTTGGCTCCGAACCCTACCTTCGGGTATCCTTGCGCGCCAAGTGTAACCCGCCCGTTTGACCTAGATTTCGCTCTGCGCTTTCCTAAAAGTCGATTATTTGTAACCCTTTGCGCCGTAGACGATTAAAAAAAATTACAGTACTAGAATTTCCTTCATAATTTACTCGGGTATAGTCAAGGTTTCGGTATTTCTGCATTACTCATTTCTGCCGGAAATATTTTTTTCTATTTTTGCCATGGGATTATCATGAGTGACAGTGTGTGAGTAAGTGAGTGTGTGTGTGTGAGTGAGTTTGTGAGTGAGTGTGTGAGTGAGTGTGTGTGATTGAGTGAGTGCGTGTGTGAGTGAATGAGTGAGTGAGAGTGAGTTATTGAGTTGAGTTATTGAGTGAGTGAGTAAATAATTCATTCAATGACCGTTTACTCTGTGGTGACGGTTTTTCCTGGTTCGGTACATGCCAATGATTTCCTCATTAGAAGTGCGAATAAAAACATATTTGTTACTTTGCTGCATATGTTAAAGTTCTAGACACACCCTGTTATTTACATTGCCGCCCGTGCACGTGAACGCCAGCGTTGCCATGACGTCAGAACCGCGCCCCCTAGCACACCAGCACGTGATCACAGGATGCTCGATCACATGAGGGCAGCAGGATGGAGCAGACCATTATCTTTGGGGGGTAATCAGGATCCAATCTTGTTTGTTTATAAACATTAAAGGGGATAAATGGGCCACATAACTCAATAAATAGAACATAATTACTATTTCATATGATTGTATATAATTTAAAACAATGTTAACCCTTTTATGGCAATAATTTGGTATTTGTGTTTTATTATCCCTCCTACAGCATAATGGGTTAGTCAGACTAGAGGAATGAGAAGAAGTTCGGCAATAATCGAAGGATTTTCAGACGTTTCTGAAACCTGACACATCTGGAGTTACTTCCACCGGTAAGAGTGATTAATTTGCTTGTGTTACTGTTTAATTGCCGTCATTAAGGTTCGAGGGGTGACTGAGAAACGCGATTCTGGGATCCCGAAAAGGGTTTGGTGGGAGGGGCCAGACAACTAACGGTGTTCTCTTATCTTGTCTAGTGTTGTGGTTTGGTAAACATGGCCCAAGAACAACAAACTGTCGTCTGTAGATAAATACATCTACTGATTTGACGTGTACGGCTCCTTTTAAAGCCATATTCATGAACAAACAATGTCAATGTCTGTGTTGTTGGCGGCGCTGTCGACAACATACGAGTTTTAGGGGGAGGGGGGCGGCAGGTTACCTCGCCGATTTTCAACATTGATCAAATATTTTTCTTGACTCAACTAGCAGCTCCAGTTTGATGACCTTGTTTGTTATACTACTACATGACTGCAGTGTTGGTAACAGAATATTTTTCAAAAGAAATGGTATTCAGCACAATGGAAAAAAAATTGTTGTTGTTTTCCAGGTATACACAGTCACCGCAGTCAACACACAGGTGATATCTGTAAACAAAACTTAGGGGGGCTGTTGCCATGGAAACAGCACATGAGACCCCTACACCTGTTGAGGGTACGACTTCTCCACAGGATGACAACACTGACATGTCCGTCCAACAGCAGGAAAAGGCCTGCACTTCAGCAAACGGCTACACGGGGGAGCAGTTTCCAGAGAAGCACACCAGGGTACACCTGGAAATCGTGGAAAAGCTGATGAAGGAAAAGGAAGAGCTGGAAATGGAGCTACACATGCTCACCAAACAACTGGAGAAGGAGCGAACCGACTACCAAGAAAGACTCAGGTCACGAGACATGGGGCTCAGGGCTAAAGACATCATTATAGAGGACATGAAAAACTGTATGAAAAGTAAGGATGAAGAAATCAGACAAGTACAACTGAGTGTAACACCCAAAGACAAAGAAATCGCAAACCTAAAAGAGATGCTGAAAGCCAGAGATTTGATTCTGCAGGGGATGCAGAAGTCTATAAAGGCAGGGGATAAAAAGGTGGAAGCCAAGCAGAAAGTTGTGATGGAGAAAGAAAGCCACAAAAAGGAGCTGGAAGTGCAGCTCAGAAAGGCGGAAAGTGACAGGAAGATGATTCAGGATAGGCACGACAAGCTGGTTCGTCAGATGAGAGACATGGCGGTAAGGAAGCTGAGATTTTCTGCAGAAC